TCATTTTTTGGGATTTGATAAATCTCATATTGATTGTGGTCAGATTGGATGGGGATTATTGAGATCCGTATCCATTTTATATCCATTTTATAAATATACGTGTTTAATGTAAATGCATATTCATTTTGTATTATCTTCCGCAAATGTTATTCGCAATTCATTTCAATGTAATGGCAAGTTTTTTAGAAGATTGTTGGAATTTCAATCATATTTATTAGGATATATTTGGAATATATTCATTGATGATATGTTCAAATTGCAGATGAATGTGGGTGTAATCGAGTGGGTGCATATGATTCATCGTGTAACGCGATGGGTGAATGCAGATGCAGACCCGGGGTTGGGGGTTTGAAGTGTGACCACTGTGTGGCCACTTTCTGGGGCATTCATCTCATCGCCAAAGGGGCACTTGGCTGCAGACGTTAGTCACCCTTTATCAGCCTGATCCAATTTCTTAACACTTACTTTTTCGTCGTCGATTCATTTGACAAGATAGAGGACGATCAACTAGGAGATATACAATACCAATTTGATTTACTGTCATAACTCGGAATATCTTATTCATTGATTTAATCACCAATTACAACAGATTACGAGTTTATGATTCTCTGTTATCATTAATATCGTAAATATCTTGCTATCCACACATTCTCCCTTCCCTGCAATCCTTCTCTTCAAGCACCTGTCCTCAGTAATTCCTAGCGATATCAGTATCCATCTGCATGAATCTCTAATCCCAAATACTGATTTGATTTTGATAGAGGAGGTATAGGGCTACTCTAACCCATATGACATCATAATTTCTGAGGTGTAGAGTTCGAAATAAGCCCAAAAATGCACCCTGATTGATCGAATGAACGTGCATGATTTCGGTGATCTTGCTAGGAATTCAAAATTACTTCTGAAAACAACCAATAGTCTTGTGAGCCAGTAGTATTTTTGATACAGCAATAAAACGCTTACAATTATAAACAATAGTGAATATATAGCTATGAATAGAATGAATATATAGTAATCAAAATACTGAATCTATAGTAATGAAACAAAAATTCAGCTTGCGGTTGCTCAGTGTTTGGATCGTCGCGTTTGGACTGTGAGCAGTCGACCGGGCGATGTCAGTGTAAAAAAGGATCATTCGGATTGAAATGTGACACATGCAATGCTGATTCGATTATCACCGCTATCGGTTGTGTCAAAAAAGATGAATATAAAGCTCCTAAGTAGGCCAAATTTTTCCAAAACTTTGATGTGAAATTCTTATCAAAATTTGATCTCAACTTTCAAGTCAAGAAATTTCACAGAAAATGCAACATTTCAGTCACAACCAATTAATTAAGCTACAAAAAATCATTCAATATTTACAATCATTAATTCCAAAATCAATCAAACAAATTATTCCAATCGAATTAAACCAAATTCAAACCGCTTCCAAACATCAGGAGTTGTTCTGAGACACAGTGTCATCATGGTGCAAAATGTGTAATGGACCGAAGTGGCATGCCCGATTGTAAATGTCCCGTTGACAAGTGTCCATTCGAGAATATCGGTTCTGTGGTCAATATGACCGTTTGTGCTTCGAACGGTGTCACTTATGATAACTTTTGCGAACTGAATCAATTTGCATGTACACATCAGCTTGATTTGGTGGCTGTGTCACTCGGATTCTGCAATAATGGTCAAATTCGTGAATGTTTTTTGTTGTTGAATTCATGATTTAACTGTGCATTAACAGTATT